ACTTTTATTTAAAATGTCAAACAATCATGTACATATCTATCTACTCGTAAGAACGTACCCAATAATAACCCAAATAATCCGAAAAGATAGTTTTATTTTAAACCCAATAATATTGTTATAACCCTTTTAAAATATTGGTTAAAATGAATATGCACGAAATTTGATTCATAAACCTCATATAATTATATGAGTTTTAAAATTATGACAGAAACGTGGTATTCGCCTTCAGTTAATGAAAGCGGTTGAATGACGAGGGTTGGACTTACATATTACGTGTTCGGAGCGTGACGACAACACGTAGCCACTACGTGCTACGGTTTATATATCTTTCTTCAATTAATGAGGTTGCCAATTATTATATACATTGAGGGGTGAATATACACCTACGTATACTACGCCTCGTGTTGGTACAATTTATTTATGAACATGACCTCCATTTTTATAAGATCACAAAGCAGAGGGTTAAAACTGTTAATCAATCGATTAAATGTAAATCCATTTTGGCTATCACTTACAATCAGTAGAAAATCTACATATGATATTTGTTGGTTAAAGATAAACATTTATCTTTAACCAACAAAAATAGTATCAGTAATCTTTTTTTATTGTGATGTTTCTATACTTCTATACTAATATTATAAAAGGAAAGATTTTTTGTTTGTTTGTGCCGAATAGGCAACTACTGAATCGATTTAGATGAAATTTGGTAAGAAGATAATTTGAGACTCTGGGAAGAGCATAGGATAGTTTTTATCCCGGAAATCTTCCCTTAAAGGGGTGAAAATGGGAAGGGATGGTAAGTTTGTATGGGGAGCAACCTAGGGACGTACCCGAGCGAAACGAGGGTCATCTCAACGAGGTCAACGAGGGAAATCTCTAGTATTGTAACTTTACCTAAATGTACAAACACTACTACTTTTACCAAAAGAGGTTTAATGGTACGAAATGGCGTGTTATGGTACAATCTCTACGTAAATCTACGCCTAACGTTTTTACGAGAAATGTTATGGGAAACATTCCTCTTGTTATCGTTATGCGTTTTGGTAAGACATTTGTAACATTACTTACTGAAAATATAGCCTGTTTTAATATATCCATTAGTCAACTATTTTTGGAATATCACAGGTATAAGATACATACCACAGTTGGACCCAGTTAGGCAAAAAACAGCCATGTGCGTAAAAGTACCAACAGAGTTAACAGCATTTTTCTGTCGATAACTATCCAAGTGCAACTGCACTTGGGTTATGTTTTGTTTTTCTGGTTATTTTCGAATTGAACAATATTTATATAAGTATTGTTTATTTTTTATAATTATTTTTTTTTATAATAAAATGCTCATAACTCTCTTGTTACTTTTATGCACATGGCTGTTTTTTGCATAACTGGGTCCAGTTATTATTAAAAATAAAGTTATTCAGGTTAAGTATAGTTACTCGGGAACCAGCTTCGCTCGGTTTACTTTCAGTAGGTTATTCATTGGTGACAATGCAAGTACTACAAACATTTACGAGACGACATTGTCAGAATGAGAGCAGATAGAAAAAGGCTCTAATAATAATTAATTGAATAATTGATTTTTTTTTAAATATCTTTATATAAAACTTAAAATCTGTTACTTTACATCTAAACTAATTCTTTCTCGTGGCTTTGTCTACGCATTATTACAATTTGTTTATAAAACGTGAGGGTACGTTGTTTGCTTTTGAATACATTGGTTAGAATAGATAATGTTCACTGTAACTTTTCTGTTTTGAAGGCTCTTTTCTCTTATTTTTTTCTGCCGGTAGCTTTGCAGATGAGTGTATAAATACACGTATATTTTAATAAAAACACGCTAAGCAATTTCAACAGACTGACAAATCTCATTTTATTGTTTAATAATGCACAGAAAAAAATCTTAGACAACATATACAATTTAACAGATAACATAAATTGCAATATGCCTTATATTGATTATTAATTGTTACAATACATTAATATATTTTAATTAAATAGCGCACAATACGGGCCGCATGATACGGCAGGCGTTAGCTGTTGTTTCAACGCAGAGGATTGAATGCAGCTTAGAAATGTTTTAATTTAGAATGTGAGCTTTATTCTAAAAATCGTTGTATTCTATCCAACAGTTTTTACGTAATACACCTATATAGAGGCATATTTTTTTAAAATTTAAGCTGCTGTTATATTCTAGCAAGTAGGAACATATTTAACCCACACATATATTTGTGAAATTAACGTAGATGCTTTACTGCATACATATTTTTATTTTGACGACGCGTTTGGTTCAGTTAGCAGTTACCGTACTTGATGTGCCAGCGGTCGCGGGTTCGAGTCCCGCTGGGGGCATCCATTTGTGTGATGAGCACGAATGTTTGTAATCCAGTCATGGGTGTTAATATTTGTAATATGTATGTATTTAAAGTTATATATGTGTAGTGTATCAACTATCTGGTATCTATAACATAAGCCTCGTAGCTTACAATGGAACTAGATGATGTTGTGTGTAATGTCCTGACATATTTATTTATTTATTTATACATAAAAAGGTAATATATGTGTGTAATATATGTATATAAGGTTATATATGTGTAGTGTATCATCTATCTGATATCCATAACAGAAGCCTCGTAGCTTACCATGAACTACATGGTGCTGTGTGTTAATATACCAATATATTTATTATTTACTACGTATTACTTACTTACGTTTTGACCATGAACGAATTTAATTCGTTCATTGTTTTGACGTTTAGTATAGATTTCTCAGAAATGAGACATTTTCCCCGCAATAAAAAGTATCTATATATTAACCTGGATAACCAGCTATCATCATACCAAATTTCTTCAAAATCCGTTCAGTACTTTTTCCGAGATGCGGTAACAGACAGACAGACAAAAATTCTAAAAACTATAGATTCGGCCTCTCTATCGATAATAATATTTATTTCAATAAGATTTTCCAAAAAAATATTTAATGTACAGATTGGGCTCAGTTACAATTTTATTATACATATAATTATGAACATATCTATCTACTACTTTAAAATATAAATATATGTTATAATATTGAGATTTATCATCCTCTATATTGATATATGACTGATATACGAGATTGATATATGAGTACACATAACCATAAGGAGTAAGTATTTCCTTTTATACGTATTCAGAGCACATCTCCAATTTCATCACTTCTAATATTTTTTCTGTTTCTCTTCGTGTCGAAAAATAATTCATTTAGTGTAATCGCTAATGGCGTAAAATATTCATATATAGTGATACTGTGTAAGAATTTGCAAATTGGAAATTGGATTTCTTTACACGATATAAATATTTTTCTATATTTAAAATATAGGTAAGTACTAAAACTATATTCGGTGACGGCGAACTTTTTTCATTTTTGTCAAAAAGACGATTTGTGTCCTTGTGTCTTATAGGTTTACGGCAATATGATTACGAAGCAAACATTTTGTTTTATAAAGTAATCGATCCCGCGACCTTCATTAAACTTTTCATAATTGCTCAAACATTTTTGATATATCTATATGAAAAATTCACGTAATAGTTGCTTACGTATGGGTTTACAATATAATACGGATTTTTTTTTGAAACATAAGTTTAAGCATCGTTCGTATCCGAGAGTCAGATCGATATGGGTTTTCCATCTTCTTCTTCTTCTTCTCCCTGCCCATTTCCCAAATCACTTGGGGTCGGCGCAGTACATCTTCAGTGTACTGCTGATAGGATTTGGCAAAAGTTTTACGACCGGCCGCCTGCCTGACGTCAACCCTCCTTGGGAATGCTATTGTCTTTCTTTGTCTGAATGGTGTTAAATATTATGCACTTTCGATTTTGTTGTGTTTTAAAACATTTTTTATACTATTAATTCAATTATTAATGTTATTTTTGGGTATATTTTAAAATAAATTTCGATTACACAATAAATTTTGTATTGACGTTGTCAAATTTTTTCTTCTAAACTAAACAACAAATTGTAAAACAACCCTTTCCCTTAGTATTTTTATTACCTTATAATAAAAAGGCGTTTTTATTTTGTATTCTTTTGATCTTTCATTTGTTTTCAATCTTTTTGTTTCATAGTAGTCTTTGTTAATGGAATTGTATTTTTATTTTATAAACCTTTAGCTAAAGTTAAAGGTAAGTAAGTTATGAATCGTAACTTTTAGTTTACCATTTTATCTAAACTTTTAACAATGAGGGTATTGTAAAAATATAACGTAAATTTTAAGTTTCGTTAATATTCTAAATGTAAAAGGTTGTGATTATGTCTTTCTTTCACGTAATAACGCTGTAACAGATTGACGTGATGTTTTGTACAAAATTCATATATAAATGGGCAAACATTTCAGTACCTTTGTGTTTGTAAACTGATTTTCTTCTTTCTTTTGTAGTAACTATTGACGCTTAATATTATCAATAAAAAAAAACAATAAATAATTTAGTCGAGTTTCGACACTATTCGAACACTTGTCATATCAAATAGCCAAGAGATTGTACTATTTTAGTTCTTACACATCTTAAGTAGTTTCTATAGGGTTAGTATTAGTAGTTCTAAGTAATATTTTTCCCCCGGGGGAGAAGCCAACTCCTACCGGGCGCGTCCCCAGGTGGCGGATAGGGGCATGGCGGAGGAGTAGGCCGCGGCGGGAGAGCTGCAGCCGATTGGAGGTGGCCCACTTCGGTGGGCGGTGGTTAGGTTTAATGGGGCTGCTCCGGGTACCTCTCTGGCGTAGCAGAGTTGACTGTGGAGCAGGTGGTCTGCCTATTTAGGCAGACCTGCCGCCGGGGCGCCGTAGTAGTTATGCGCAAGCGATCCTGCGGCGTCCCATTAAGGCGGAGGGGAGGGGAATGTCGGGTTTTAGTGGGTAGTACCGGCTCTTCTAGCCGGTGAGCCCCACATCACCACCTGGGGGATCAGGTGGTATGCGTAAATGCATTTCCCGACATAATTTTTTAAGTAATATTTTTCCTGTGTAGGTGCCACACTGGCTGTCATCATCGATATGGACCACCGTACATCAGTCATATTCAGCGCTTGCGTCGCCGTGTTCTACACGCTGTTCGGGGGGCTCTATTCCGTAGCGTACACTGACGTCATCCAATTGTTCTGTATTTTCATTGGCCTTTGGATGTGCATTCCGTTCGCGTGGGCCAACGAGCACGTGAAGCCGCTCAGCTCGATGGACGTGGACTGGATAGGGGAAATCGACCCGAACTACTACTGGTTCTACATTGACTATGGATTACTGCTTGTGTTTGGAGGGATTCCTTGGCAGGTGAGAAATGTTAAAATATTACAATAATAATATAACATAATGAAATTCAGAAAACGTTACCAGTTATGTAAATTAGTTTAATTATAACTATTTAAATGTCCATGTTACGTAACTTCCTTTCAAAAAAAGATTGTAAGTTTTAAATAAAAAGCTCTTTTATCTTTTAATATAATATAGTTAGAAAAAATCTTTTAAATTTTCTATATAATAATATAGATATATTTGATGTAGGTGTATTTCCAACGGGTACTGAGCAGTAAGACGGCGGGGCGCGCGCAGGTGCTCTCGTACGTGGCGGCCATCGGCTGCATCTTCATGGCCATCCCGCCCGTGCTCATCGGAGCAATCGCTAAGGGCACAGGTAAGTGTGTAGTGTAACGTTTCACATATAAATCGAATATTTTTTTACGTCAGATGGTATCCCGAAAATAACCGCTTTTTAGGTGATTTTATCAATTAAAACCATATTCAAATTATTATTATTGCAATCGTTCAAAAAACGTTAACCAAATCGGTCAGGCTGTCCTGAAGTATCGTTTACCATACGTTAATCCAGTCAGTTAGTAAGTTAGTAATATGGAGGATACTATGATTTTCGTAGCGTCTAATAAATATTCTGTCATGTCTATATTTATCCTGTTAGGTAAAAAGCGTAAAATAAACAATTAAAATGAATAATGATATACGTTAACATAACGGAAATATATACCAAGATAACGGGAGTCGAGTATGAGTATAAGTATATAACGGGACGGCACAGCATGGAACGAGACGGGCTACGGCGGGCAGCTGAGCGACACGGGCGAGCTGACGGCGGACCAGACATCCATGATCTTGCCGCTGGTGCTGCAGTACCTCACGCCCGACTTCGTGTCCTTCTTCGGGCTCGGCGCCGTCTCCGCCGCCGTCATGTCCTCGGCCGACTCCAGCGTGCTCAGCGCCTCCTCTATGTTCGCGAGGTTAGTTCTTATATTCAATTCTACTCCTTAAAAGCTTCTACTTAATTTTCTGTTTGTAATTGGCAACATTTTTTTCTAACATTTGTGTTCACATATTTGAAACTTATTTCAATGACAATACTGTAATTACAAGGTACCAAAGTAAGAATTTACCATAGGAACTCCTCTCCTATGTTAATATTTTTTTAAATAAAATATAAAAAAACTTTTGATATAATACATATTATATTAATTATTATCGCAGATTTTATTCGTAATATTTACTTTATTATTTTTAAGTATAAATCTCTTATAAAAACAGTAAAACATTTAAGAGTTTCTAGCAAAAAGAAACCTAACGAAGCCTAATAAAATTTTCAACTTAATTTATTATAAAAAGTGGAGGCTGGCTTAAATTCAGCACTGAGCAAGGTAGTTGAGATAGGGCGCAGCAAACCCTATTACCCGTCTCATTTAAATTTATTCAAATACAAATTGCTTGTCAACTCCCAAATGTTTTAATCTGGGCTTTTAAGTATTAATAAATAACTTGTTTTTGTTTGAAAATATAAAACAAATTACAAAAATAACTAAAGTTATTATATAGTCAGTAATTATTGGTACTTATTGACCTCTTCTTAACGACTCCTAAAATATTTAACTGACACTGCTCGTTGTATCGCAGGCCACAATTCGTTTCTAGTCAAAAATGGATGTTCAAAATGGAAATGTGAAAGCTATATATGTATGTATAATGTATATTTTGTTTGTAACTTACAAATGTACGTTTCCAAAGTCTTAATAAAATTCTAATCCTATGTAGTTTTTATGGTTTTTAAGAGTGCTAGTTGACAATTTTTCTTAACTAACTTCGTCAACGTCGTATATAATTGAGAAGTTTCAAAATTTTATTCAAATAAAAGATACATACAATTTGAGTTTAAGTTTATAATAACTGATAAGATACTCATCGTTCGCGGGAGCGAGAGAATGATGATTCACTTTCGCCACACTGCAGGCCGTGAGATAATAATTACTGAGTCACAAAATGTTTGAACGACCTAATAAAAGATATTATTTGGACGTCCTACTTTTGAAGATTACTATTACTAATTACTTTTTAATAAAAAAAAGTTTAATATAAGACTAAGGATATAAACAAATATCATATTACACGAGTACATGAAGTACTATAATCAGTTATTGTATGTGTGTTTGTGTGTTGACTTCTTCATATGGTAAGGGTAATGTAAATGATAGTAGAGTAATATTTAAAATAAACATACGTTATATTTATAATTAACACATATGTAGAAAAATATTAATCGCATCTACCGCGCAAACAGAGCCGTAGTCAAATTATTTAATATTTGAGCCCAAGTACAAATGAAAAAAAAAACACAACTAATGAGATTTTTCACTCTACGTCACAAAGACAGTGAGATGAAGCATGACATTAAACAAGAGTGACCGTCCCCAGGAACGTATACAAGCTGATCTTCCGGCAGAACGCGTCGGAGATGGAGATCATCTGGGTGATGCGCGTGGGCATCCTCGTGGTGGGCATGCTCTCCACCGTCATGGCGCTCACCATACCCTCCATATACGGCCTCTGGTCAGTCGCTTCTATCTTACTCTAATATAAATTAATAATAATATTTTTCTTTTAGTAGATAATAGTAATAACATTAGTAATGTAAATTGAATTTTCCGAACGACATTTTTATTCATTGCAAAGGAACATAATGATATGTATAGGCATAGGTGTTTTAAAGAAACAATACAATAGTTATCGTGATAAAATTATATGATTTTTTCTATAAATAATCTATTACAGGACTGACATTTTAAACTACATAATATTATTTTACAAAAAATGATCTTTTTGTTATAAATTTTTTTGTCTTTGTGAATAATTTACTAAAATAAAATAGAGTACCTAAGTAATATTTTTTTCATTAAAAATTTTAAAGTATATTAGGTACATAAATACTAAATGAACTTGTTCTGTCTATCACCCTAAATGTATCCATTCACCCATCCACTACATATATTCATCCATGCATCAGACTGAACACGTTGGAAAATCTTAATTTAAGTTAATTGCTAAATATCTTCAATTTCATACATAATAAGTGCTCGTAATAATTTAGTATAAGATTATGTACACAAGTACCATAGCATTTATTAGTTCATCATAAGTTACGACAGCCCTTGTGGCTCAATCCGCGCAAAAAGGTTTTATAGACCATTGTGCAGATCTAGTGCGTTTCGCAACATTGCCGCGGGCGTGATTTATAGTGGCGAAGAGATAATGCAAGTCTGTCTGATACGGTGATAGCGACACTCGGCAAATGTAGGGGGATCTTGGTTTAGATAACACTAATAACCCATCCTTTATTACAACGTAGCTTATTTGCAATGTGCTTCCGTAGCTTTTAGCTATATCGGATGGTAAGATGTTACCATCCGATATGTGACTGATGAGTCAGCTTAGTTATAGCAGTTAGTAGTATTGAAGTTATTTAATGTACGAGTAAAAAAATGTAGAGTCGAAAACATTACTTATAAACATATGTAAAAAACATAATATGTATATGTACATTGTACGTGTACTTAAATAGGATCGTGATCTTAGACTACGATTATTTCTCAATCTGCATTGTAACGATCAAAAAATTTCGTTACAAGCGTTTTTTCTACAGTTCCTGAATATCTTAACGATAGATTTTACTGCGGGTGAGTTTTAAGCTATATTTTAATAAATCGAAATATATTTTAATAAAAAAATAAAAGATGGTCACGTAAAAATCAATACTTTTATACGTTTCCAACAATTTAAATGCGAAAGTGATTGTTGGCTTGTATTAATTACTTTTTATTTGACGACGTCGTGGGTTCGAGTCCCGCTGGGAGCATTCATTTGTGTGATGAGCACGAATGTTTGTACTCCAGTCATAGGTGTTTATATTTATAATATTTTGGTATTTAAAGTTATGTATGTGTAGTGTATCATCACTAGCCTCGTAGCTTACCATGGAACTAGATGGATCTGCACGTGTTAATGTCCCAACATATTTATTATTATTATTACTTTACCGCCTAATACGCGGTAAGTGAGCCCCAGAAACGGATAGACGTTTGTTGAATACAAATAATCTGTTTAAAGGCATTAAATGTTTGCTATTAGATTTAAGTATAATGCGAAAAGATATTGAGAGATGTGCATAATTGAGGCCTTAGCTAAATCGCCCTCCTCTCCATATTGGTATATTTTAAATCATAAATATTAATGATAAATATACGTAATATTATTCATATTACGAATAGATGTAGAGTAATCAACATGAGCGCACGTAAATATAATGACATATAAATTTTGCGCTGGATGTGCCTAATTTGTCTTTATTCAGGTAAATGAGAGAATCGTGGACGTTGTTGCCGCAATCAACAATTATCTGCTTCATGGAGCCTTATTTGTTCACACATAACTTAACTTCTTGCCGACATTAAATGCTTATACGTATATATTGTAACCACTCTGTAATAATAATGATATATTATTTTATATTTATAACGGATAAAAGACTGACTAATATCAGCCTACAACCTAAATGATTGGGTTGGTATTGTTTAGAACCCGAAGTAATAGATTCATTTTAAAATATCTTTTAGATCTAATTAAAACAACGACTCTGGAATCCGTTAAATATATAATAAAATGATTTAGTAAGCAAGCATGCCAGTGATGTGGAGCTTAGAGTCGATACGTTCATCTATATGAGATACTAGAGACTCACCCTCAATTTGCTTCGGGTTCGTCCCTAGGCAAAAACAAATCTATCTCACGGTAAACCGTACATTTTTCCGGGATAAAAAGTAACCTATATGCTATCCAGACTATCATATCCTCTCTGTGTTAAATTTTATCCACACTCGTTCAGCCGGTCTAGCGTGAAAGAACGGCAACAACATACCGGACAACATAATTGTGGTAATAACAAATATCCATCAATCACACTATCTATAATATCCATCAGTCACATTTATAATATTAGTAGTATGGACTTGGATAGAGCGAAATATATATAACACATTGCTATTCTCATAATGGCTTATATCGAGAAACAAAAGTTGAAGCCCAACGTTGGAGCGGAAGAATATTAAAGAAATAAATAAAGTATCTACGTCACTGTCCCGAACTTTTCAACTTTTATTTCAGCAGAAAGCGGCTGAAATAGAACTTATTCTTACATTTGTTCGAGATATGTATAAAGTTTTCTGAATTTTTAACCAGTGATTTGTAGAGGAACAAACTTTACTAACAAACTTAAATTATGACTTTCTTTTAAAGTTATTTTTAGTGCTTCAAATATTCAAGTTGTTTCTAAGTAGTTTTAAGTACACATAAGTTGTATTATTTTATAATAATTATTTAATAATATAACTAGTGACCAGCTCCTTACTTTTTCAAGCATTTTTAGAATTCTATTGAGATTTAAAATTTAGTTATATCATTTTTTTTAAAGAAGAAAAAAATGCACAACGTCAAAACAAAATTTATTGTGTTCAAAACTTGTTTCAAAATATGTCAGAAAATTACATGAGAACTTTGAATAATACTATAAAAAATGTTTTAAAAGAAAAAAATGTAGACGTAAACTTAAGAACTCTCCAATATTAAGCCGCGCCTAACCTCAAGCAATTGATTGTGCGTATTAAAGTGATGAAAAAAAATGCTGACATTAGATAATTTTTTATTACTACCTAATTCGAAATTAGATGTGCTGGTCATTGCACCTTGGGTCCTTTCCGCGATAAACAATAGCATTCTTTTTTTTATGGGGTTCATTGACAAACGAGCAGTCAGACCACCTGCTGGAAAGCAGAATGTGTCGCCCATAACACCTACGGTTCATGCACTTAGGTTTTATGTAACAAAAATGCAGAACTGTAGGTGCTTTGTCACTGTGAGGACTAAGATGATATGCCTCTTGCCTATAACTGCGCTGGCTACCTTATCGTTCAGACCGGAACATAACAATGTAACCATTGTTGCTTGGCGGGAGAAATAGATAAGGGGGTGGTACCCATCCAGTCGGACTCCTCAGGCTTGACAGAGTCCTCCCACCGGTATAATAATGGTATTACCAAGGAGGGTTGATGTCAGGCAGGCGGCCGGTCGTGAAACTGTTGCCAAATCCTGTGAGTAGTACGGAAGATGTATTGCGCCGTCCCCAAGTAATTGGGAAATGGGCAGATGATGATAATATTAATTTTCATATAAATATTTTTTAATAAGTGTATAGACTGAGTAATACGGCAAAACAGAAAGATGTGTCTTACGATTTACGCATATAAAAGTAATCCTATAAAGGTTCAAGGGAAGAAAGGGATCAAAATATGCATATAAATGATAAGGATAAAGGAGGAGGACGACCGATTTGCTATTTGCAACAGGTTCTAATACAGTGCCCCGAATAGAAACTATGTTCGCCATTACAACATATTTAAGTTAAAATATTTATTAAAAGATATAAAATATCATTTTCTATATAAAACTAGCTTTAGTATTTATTATCAATGGATTTTTTTATGTAGATAGAAATCCATTTAAATTTTCATGTTTTCTTCAAATGTTTAATAATAATTATAGTCGAATTTCGACCATGGGGCGATCACCATTATTAACTTATTATTACTGTTGAGATTGCTGTAAGCTTCATATAGATACTAGCGATTCACCCTCGCTTCGCCTGGGTTCGTCCCTAGCTTGCTTCCCCATACAAACTTTCATCCCCATTCTCACCCCCTTAAGGGATGATTTCCAGGATAAAAACTATTTCACTCACTCACTGTTCATATCATGTGAGATTAAAAGAAAATCTTATATTAGTAGTTTTTTCTTGTCCTGACAATAACAAACACAAAAAAAAAGAATTACCCAATTTGGTGCAGTCGATCGGAAGTTATGCGCGTGCATACGACCACATTTCGCTGGTTAATTTTTATTTATATAGATGTGTAAATAAAACATAACGCTGAGCATCCATTATTTATATACACATAATTGGTCGGTCCGATAACGATCCAGTTATATCACAAAGTAGATATCCCGTAGCGCCAATACATTACATGATTACATTACAGATATGAGATGAGCGAGATAATTTGACGTTGTTCTTGATCAAGCGATTCATTTAAATGAGGTCAATTATTATTTACATGATTTATATTATATTATAGTGCACTATTTATTAATATGGATTGCATTCGTTTTGTTTTCTATAATAAGACGTACAATACATCAAGCCAATGAATTTAGTTACTGCGTAATGATGATGATGTTCGCCTAGCCGATTCCGGCCACGGCGGCCAATCTCAATGAGATTAGCCAACTGCGCAGGAGATATTATAGTGCTTAAGTGTACGCGCAGACACAAGTGCACTCTCTATTCCTATCACTCTCATACTCCGGTGGGACGACCACTCGACACGACCGGTGAGAGTTAAGGCGCAGGACCGACGGCTTTACGTGCTCTCCGAGGCACGGGGGTAAAACACCGCCAATTTCCCAACTCCGGGCGGTTACTGAGACTTACTATACAGGAAGACTCAATAACTAAACTTGGCCCGACCCGGGACTCGATCCCAGGACCTCCGGGTGTGCAGCCGTATATGCTAGCCACTACACCACCGAGGCACCGTAATAGAAGAACAATAATTCAACAAACACGTTTATGTACTAGTATATATGTAATTTTAATAATGATTATGGAATTATTGAATTAGACCCTGGCCTTGCGTTGCTCAAGTTCTAAATACAACGTTATCGTTCAAAAAGTATTTTTTATCGATGTACAACGTGCATTTTTCTATCACTTTGAAATATTGTAGTTTTTCACTCTACGATATGTTGTTCTGCATCAGTTGTTGCCTAGACGGAGCTAGCTTAGCTAGCTAGTTACCTAGCTTTTAATAAGTGTGTTACTTATTGAAAATTACAATTGATAGTAATAGAAATGAAATTGAAAAATTGAAATCGAATCGAAAAAAAGATCGCTATCATGAAATTTCTGATTCGCTTATTATAAAGGGCTCTACAGACTGTGCAAATATGTTGAGTTTAATTAAAACGAGATGAAGCGGAGGGTTAGTTTGCTTAGGAGTTAGTGGCGTTATATCTCTATTATAAATCAGAACGGATGAATATCAAGAGCTTGGAGATTAAATTAAAATTCAATTATATTTAAATTAAAGACTAATAAAATATTATATATGTAGTTTCGTAATATCTTATAAATAAATAAATATGTTGTGACATTAACACACAGCACCATCTAGTTCCATGGTAAGCTACGAGGCTTCTGTTATGGATTTCAGATAGTTGATACACTACATATATATAAACTTTAAATACATACATATTATAAATATACACCCAAATATTAATATACACCCATGTACTGGAGTACAAACATTCGTTCATCACACAAATGAATGCCCCCAGCGGGACTCGAATCTGCGACCGCTGGCACAGCAAGTAGGGTCACTACAGACTGAGCTAAACGTGTCGTAGAATACATTGCTACAAATGCCTCGAATACATATTTTCCTAAGCGATTAAACTGTCTATTAAAACTTATTCGTAACAAAGTTTGAGGAAGTCCTGCCGACCCGGTTCGGCGACGGCGGCCAATCTCACTGAGACTAGACCCGGAACTCGAACCAATGGCTTCAGGGTCTGCGGCTGTAAGAGCTAGCCACTAGACGACCGAGGCAGTTATGAATACTTTAAGTAATTGACTTTTAAGTTGATAACTTCTACAAACATAGTTATAGTAATCGCGATGACATATTAATTACTTATATGCGGCTACAGTCTATAACTTAGACGTATTTATTATTTTAATATAATGACCTCTTTTATTATATATAAAATATTAGTAGAACCCGCGGCTTCGCTCGCGCTAAAACTACAAAAAAACTAAAAAAGTAGGTTTCATACAATCTTCATCCGCTATTTTACCGCCTTATGGGATGAATTTTGGAAAATGCTATGATGTATATTTATTTAATTGTATTGAAGAGTATCACCAAGTTTCACGTAAATCTGATCATAAATAATTTTTGGGTTAATTATAACGGCTGTATTAACATAAAACCGTTATAATTAACGTGTTTTCCCGTGGGAATGAGATTATCTTCCGCGGTAAGAAGTAGCCTATGTTACTCTCCAGCCCTCCAACTATCTCCACACAAAAAATCACGTCAATGCGTCACTCCGTTTCGACATGAAAGAAAGACAAACAAACAAACACACTTTCACATTTATAATATTAGTATGGATTAATTATATTAGAACCAAGCATCCGCAACGAGATAACCCTCTCTGGGAAAATATGTCCACATAAAGCTGTTCAATGGAGTTCTCAAATAAAATACAATTATATTTATTGCGGGAATCTCGTTTTGATTAAACGTGAAACTCGATTATAAAGAATATATTATTTTTAATCTTCTTATTTCAATATTTAATTTTCATGTTTGTACACATGAAAATTAAATATTGAAATACGTGTCTTTGTTACACGCTGAACTGCATGCTGTATTTTCGCTATTGAATGGATATGTAGTTGACATCATTTTAAACTCGTAGAGAGCTTTTATTTAATACTAACGATTCACCTTCGTTTCGCTCGGATTCGTTTTGACGCTTAGTATGTAATAGATAGACTATATATACATATATATACTAATAACTGTGATGAGTTTTATATCCTTTACTTGAGAAATGATTAATAACGCATTCAAAGTTCCACCTACCTTTTTAACCTGTTTAAGGGATTATTTCCGGGATAAAAATTGTCCTTTATCCTTCCCAGGGTCTTAAACTATCTCCATACTAAGTTTCAAATGGGTTCAGCGGATTAAGCGTGAAAAAGTAACAGACAGAGTAACTTTCGCATTTAAAATATTAATATGGATAGAATAAGATGAATGTTGGTCTCCTGGACTATAAAATACACTTTGATATTTCTAAAGTATGCGCGAAAAGAAAATGCATAAGTAGAAATTACTAATATTATATAATTAAATATACAAAACAATAATTTGTACACTCAATTATTATTACTACAATACCTATAGATGTGATTAATAACTATAGATGTGATTTGTAGTCTGTAGATAACTTTTTCATAACCATTCTTTATACGTATGTATATGATTTATTATTAATCAACTTAATCATGCTCTCCTATTACCATGACTTTGTAAACGAAAAAAATTAACGACGATAATATTAAGGTAAATTAAAACAGTCTACGGTTCTACAACGACTTGATAGATTTTTTCTTATTTTTAGCTATAGATAGATAACACTATAACTGAAAAAAAACGAATTCTCTATTATTTACCGTATAAAAAGACACAATTCATTATTTGTTTTATCTGTTTTTACTAGGTCGATGTGCTCAGACCTGGTATACGTGATCCTCTTCCCCCAACTGCTTATGGTGGTGCACTTCAAGAAGTACTGCAACACGTACGGGTCCCTCGCCGCGTACATCGTAGCACTGTTGGTGCGGCTCTCGGGGGGCGAGAAGATGTTGGGGCTGCCGGCACTGATCCACTACCCAGGGTGGGATGAGAATGATGAGGTCCAGCTGTTCCCTTTTAGAACCATGGCCATGGTGCTATCGCTGTTCACGCTCGCCTTCATATCTTGGCTCTCAGTGTAAGTTTACTCTATTTTATATTTACATAAAGTTATAACTTTTATTGAACATAAGTTACGAATAATGACCTCTACATGTAGTACGTGCTAGTTTAAACTCGATTAAAATTGGTACACAGAGAGAAACAAATGTTTGTAACCGTTGCTTGTGTTTTGGTATGTCATGGGCGTGTGGTTTTGTATGATTGATATGTTATGTTAGGTTGGTACGAGTAATTAATACGATCCAATTTTTTTTATCAGTTTGTTTGGACGAATCGGCGAAATCATTTATGTGAAAATATTTCGAAGGACTTAAATACGGTGTTCTAAATTTAAAACTTTATAAAAAGCTAAATCTACTCTTATTGCTGCGAATAGATATGACTGTTAAAATGTAATAAGTATATAATGATAGCATTAAAATGCATAATAATTTAAATATTTAGTTTAGTGATACATATATATATATATATATATATATATATATATATATATATATATATATATATATTTTGGCTAAGTAATTAAAGCCTACCTATTAAATACATACCTAATCAAATATTTTCGAAATCGGTGCCAGCCCATACAAAGCAAAGCACACTTCGAAAATATTTGATTAGGTATGTACCTATAGTAAATGAAAACTACCAATCAGTTATTTTTTTTTTTTAGTGCTTTTGTTTAAAGTCGGTTTATATTCAGTTATACACTGACTTTTTTAATGAAAAAAAGAAAGCTTTTTTCCTTCACCCAGAACTGAATGTTCCTGATCACTACTTAATTAATGGATCAACTTCGTAATTTTATTTCATTAAAATATAAAATTGACTGAATGGATGACGTATTAGTTTGTTATACTTCGACATTAGTTTTAAAAAGCGGGAATCTTATTATATGACAAGGTCCAAGGTCTACCACTTGCCCTTTGAAACCTCGAGAGGCACTAGAGCCAGTGCATCGTTGTGTTAAGGTCGGTGCACATCATCGACCATGGACTGTATTGTCAACAATTTCAAGATTTTATTTATCTATAATTAAAGAAGACCGTTTTTATGTTTATTGCATTTTCATATCTAAATTACGACTCTATTTTTATAGGCATAAAATAAAAAATATATATTTAAAACTATTGTCGGTGTTATTTCCCGTAAGTTCTAAGAACTAATCATATCACATTACAGCTAAATCCATGCTGTATTTGGTGTATATTATTTCATTCCTGTTGTTTTATCTTTGCCGTGCCTGCCTTTTGTTTTCGTAGTATATGAGGCATCGCAAGCGTGGGTATAACATAATCAGATGTAAAATAATAACGATGTTAAATTTTTAAACATCTATTTTTATCTCGTAGCACATATCTACGGTCTATCCTTTTCTTTTTTAGGTTACAGAATATAAGTAACAGACTACTTTTTGTAATTAATTTGCGAACGTAATTTCGCCACCAAATATTAAATATCTAATAGTTTACCTACATAAATATAAATAAATATGTTTGTACATTACCAATTACCACACTGCACCATCTAGTTCCATGGTAATCTAGGAGGCTAATGTTACGAATACCAGGTAGTTCATACACTACACAAGTACACATATTTAACTTTAAATGCATATATATTATAAATATAAAAACCCATGACAGTGCTCATCACACAAATGAATGCCCCCAGCGGGACTCGAACCCGCGACCGCTGGCACAGCAAGTAGGGTCACTACAAACTGAGCCAAACATGTCATCAGAATGTATGATCGATAACTCTAATAAACTTTTATTTATAACCACATATATTGGACATAAACAATAGCATTTTTACATAATTGATTTGTACAATGTGCAATATAATTTCAATCAATTAAGCAACAGACATTGCAGTCAGACGTTCTCCCAAATATTCGATGGACCCAATGATGTAAGAGTTAAATGAACGATGATCTTTAACAACTTGCCGTGCGTTCAATCGATTCAATTAAGTATTATTAGAATCTCTGGTAGCGACGGCTCTATCTACATTGGCCGAATTTCGAATTTCAATTTTAAATAGACAATTTCGTTCCTCGCTCGTCCTCGCGCCGTCGACAAACAATTTGCAAAGGAAATTTTGTTTAGACCGGATTTTATTTTAATTCAATTTGATTTGTCAAAGGGATTTTGTACTTTTCATTATATTTAAGAGATCAGCGACGCTTTCAATAAATAACAAAGTATTCTTTTATGTCTGTTACAATTTCAATATTGAATTCAAAATTGCATTCTCATTTATATTTAAGAGGTTCTTTAAAATATTGTACTAGTTATTAGCAAATATAAGTAACAGCGACATGAAAGAGATGTATTAGGTAATTTGAGAGCGCAAAGTTAATAGGGGTCTTGATAAGGGCAAATAATTAATTAGCTTGTGGAACAACCCTTCCGAATATCAGATAGGATTGGCAAATTACCTTCGTTATCGTTTCTGTAGGATGTCTCGTGAGGCTAATGGAGCTACATCGTCAAAGTATAGAAAAAATGATATTTTTCGTGTATACGCGTGTTAGTTTTAACTAATAAAATAGATAATAAGGTATAAGGATTATAATAATAAGTTACAATTAATTTCATTTCATTATCATATCGGTTTTTTTCGTAAAATGGGATATGTTGCTTTATGAAGAGGAATATAACGGTTTTTTAGATTTACGCAAATATTTTACATTTAAAATAAAACTATTTTTTCCTCTCAAATTAAATAAATTGTAAGGTACTCGTACTTCAGTTTTTCCGAAATTAAATAAAATTCTAAGGTACCCACGTCGTTTTCAAATAATTTTTTTTACAAATTATTTTAGAATTTATAATGGGCTGACACTATCTGTAATAATTATAACTTTTGAGGTGCCCACAACTTTCGTCTCGCCTGACCATATTTGCTATAAATAATCGGAAACAAAAAAGTGTAATAAAATCACGAAAAAATAGTTTTATTTTAAAGATACATCTCTACATAACGTCTTTAGGCGTATATTGTCTCTATTTACGGAACAATGTCATTCAATACATACTCTTCATTGTTTTCCCTTGAGAAGTGATACATATTCACATGTGCAAATAAGAGCGGTCTGTTCAAACACAATTACCATAGAAATGGCCGCAGCTTCGTGCGACCACTCTCAATCGGAAGACAGATTCGATCGTGTCGCACACCGGCCAAAGGAAATGAAAGCGCTCACGACGTGCAACACATCAGTGCACACAATGATCATATATTTACGTACTGTTTTACATTTTAACTAGTGACGTACCCTTGTTTTCTCGAGACAATCCTTAGGTGCGACTTGATAGAAATAAATAAACTACATATATAAAATAATACTTATACATATATTATACAACTTTGGACAAACGGTCAGCGCCACCATTTATTATATTTTAATACTATCTGTCTATCTGTGTTCTTCATTTCATTCAAAGCCGTATAACCATTTCAGCGTTGAGTATCAAACAAACACACATATTTCCTATTTACATGAGCAGTCTAATGTATGTTAATTGTCATAAGTGATTGGAATTTGCGACAATATCTTTATTTAATACTTATGTTTACGCAAATATTGGACATTAAAGTGACATTTAAGTACTATAAATTAACTGACATCAATCACGTTTGACTTTTTTGTGCCCAAAAGCCATTCATAACGACGTGAATTGAAGATAGTTTGAATTAAAAAAATACTTTGTTATTTATAAGTATTTATCATAATTTAGAGGTGGTTAATTACTAGAGGCTACTTCTTCAATCAGCTGACAGGCGTAAAAGCTATTTATTTATTAACTAAACACTATAGCTAAAAGTGATAAGATGAATTTATTTTATCCATCAACTGCAACTATTGATTTGCTCATGTTACATTATATCTTGTATACAACTTTGTTTTGAAATCGACGTCAGATCAGAATAGTCCCGCAGTGTGTCAGAATTAATGTAGATGGATGAATACTTTAACGATAGCCTTTTAAGGAACATAGAAATGCTTTTACATTTCAGATTTTTCACTAACTGAAAAACCAAGCATAAGTATTTTCGTTGGCAATAAATGAAATGTCTAAAATAGGTACTATTTAAGATGTTAGAGATCGTTTTGTTAGACTTGAAATGAAATTTGTCTTGGCAGTTTGTTTTTGTAGGGACGAAATTACTAATTTTGTAATAAATAAGGTAATTTTGTGAGTCATTTATGCTTTATAAGTAAGAACATATTATGTATATGTAATGAGTAATTAAAAATAAACTTTGACTACGGGTGACAAAATGTATTTAGGGACTTCTATTTATGTGTCTTATATTTAAAATTGTACGTTCTAGTTTATATTTTTAAATAAAACATCATGATGTAAATACTATAAAAAATATTTTTGTCAACAGATTCTTATTCAACTCAGGCTACTTGAGTCCAGAGTCCGACTACTTTAATTGCGTTGTGAACATCCCTGAAGACATTAGGCGAGTTGATGAGCCTTCGGAAGCTGGTGAGCAAATGTCAGTACTAGGAGGAGTTCCTGGTAGGTTGTATGGTGCAGCATCTACTTTAGTCGGATCTGATGAAAAATCTGGCAGAATAAACCCCGCTTTAGAGCCTGATGATGATGATCTAGATGACCCTAATGATGGTCCTACGCCACTATTCGGCAACAGCAACGCTCCACCACCAGTCCAGCCGTTTGGAAAACAAACGGCTTTCTGAGACGATTTTTACTATTATTAGTTTAGTTATTTTTGTTATTAGGCGAGGGCGGATCCAATTACCAAATATAGTTTATCTATCTAAATCATGTCCAAATACGCTATTTTTAAACGAGTGTTTTCTTTAGTTCATTACGATATTCTATGAAAATTAGGTTCTTTAACATTGTTTGGACGCGTCCTCGCTTCGATCAAGTGACATATCTAGTGGAGATCAGTAAACGATCAGGTTCGAAGGACTCGTCGATCGCAACATCGAAGCGGATCGGACACAGTACTTACGAAATAGTTTAGTGCTCAAACTATATACAATATCTTCCGACGGCACAATTTTGTAACGAAAGCACATATCTTTACAAACGCAACTCATTTGAGGAGTAGAAGTTATAAAGCAATAGTTAGTGGGAGAGAGGTTATTTTGTAGCCAAGTTATTGTATATCTAATATAATGGAACGCATACATATCAGATATTGTGAGAATATATTCGTTGTTAGGAGAGATATATTATTATTATATGCATATGGCATTATTTATAAAGAGATTCCTTATTTAAGTCAATTAATGTAGGGACAGAGGCACGGAAAGTGCGACGCTTCTAGGACAATCATGGCGGCTTAGATATCACGCGACCAAATACAAGCCCCTAGAGAATTATAAGGAATTATCTAAAAAGAATCGCTTCTAAAGCGTATCACCATATCTTTAAATATATTTGAAAAGCTTTTAGATCTCTTTATTTTATTAAAATATGTGCTAAATACAAAAATATGTAATTCACGTTTAATTAGCTTTTAAGTACAATTTAGTCATGTTGTTGGTTTTTATAAGCTGTTTTATAGTTTATTTATATTGATTCGATTTATAGTTTACGCGTTGTCTAGATTGTCTAGATCGTATATATCTGAGTGCTAGCGCTCCCTAGCCCTCGGAGCTAATGTATGGGGTGGCTTCATAACATCAGCTGGTTCGATTTCATTGTAAAATAATGAAATCCCTAAAACAAACATTGTACATATGTAACTTAGAACGAAATGACATTTTTTGAACATATATTTGAAAATCGAATTTACTCTTCAAAGTAAACGTCATGCATGTAGCTCACGTGACTACTGAACTTAATACTTTCGCTGATATTATGAATAAACCTTTACTCGTAGGTTAAATATATCGGTGTTCAAATATAATATATTGATGTACCCCGACTTTGAGCTCTCAGTGTGTGTTGCAAGGCTTTGAATCCACTACTGCTAGTGACGTCACGAGACAACTGAATGACTCGAGTTGAACATCATTCAATGGACTTTAAGTATGGAAACAAACTTAATGTCAAATTTATATAAATTATTAAAAATTTTAACTTTAATTATTAATTTTATATTAAGAAAGTGATCATATAATATATTTTTGTTTATTTTGAACTATTAAATTTTATTATAAAATGTAATCTGACTCAAGTCGTGCTTAATTCGTGACGTCATAACATTTTAAACTTCGGTAATACGGATCGGGGCTTTTACTAAGAGTTTATATAACGCATTTCATATATAGATATAGATATACGTATACCTTATTGTGATACAGTCACCTGCCTGTTACTTCGCGAAGACTCTGGAACTCGAACATATCATTGTGACTTATACTATAGTTGTATGACGTTGTGTCAACAATATGTAATGTGCTAGTGATATAGGAACGGATACATATCAAATATTTTTAAGGTAGTATTTAGAATCGTTGTTGTTCTTCAACGTCGCGTGCTAATGTCATTGCATTCACAGATATAATACTATGTTATTAGAGTTCAATTTAGGCTTTAGTTGAATAGTTCTGCCATTGATTTTTGACTTGCTTTTTAAATACGGCAGGTTATTTAGAACTTTCAAGTACATGTTTTAATACAAACTTATTTTTATACCTTAGAAAAGAAGTTATAGTATTATATATATCGATGTAATTTTTTAAGGAATACAGATATTATTCAGAATTTAAGCAATAATTATCGTTTTAAATTTGAAAATTGTATTGAAAGAGTTATGTGAATATAGTAAATTAAAAATGTTTTATTTTCAGCAAGTACGATTATCTGTTTGCGATGACGTTAGGAAGGGGCGGGTCCACTGTTAGCGTAGTTATACCTACTATTGACTTATTCCTAGTTCTTGTTGAATATTGAATGTAAATGTGTACCGTTGTGACTCTGCAGCATCCTGCGACCTAAATAAAACATATAGTACGTTGATGGGATGCTTTGTTTTACTCTCACACCTCACTACTGTCCCGGCGATACAGAGTTATCGGTCAGCCAAAAATAAAAGGTAACTCAAGAGTGGAATATTTAAAAAATAATAATGTTTATTTTGTATAGACCTGAAACAAAATTGCTACGGTATTAAATTATATTTTTTTTCCTTACATGTATAATGTGGAAGTGGCATATAAATTCGTCGAGTTCTTTCTATAACCAATATGTCTTTGAATTTGACACGAACTTATTAGTATATATGTATGTATACTGTTGATAGTACATGTAATAAGTTCATTATTCTTTTTCAGTTTTAGTTTAAGATTTAGCCAAAATAATAAAATAATAAACTCCTCGATGTGTTGTGTTTTTACAATACAAGGCAAATTTTTGAAAAATTTAATTAAATGTCGGGAAAAGAAATTGGACCAGCAGTACGAGGCAGCCACAAAAAATAATAGAATATTGATTGCTTGTCCAATTGTGATTGAATAAAGTTCAATCTCGAAAGTGGCATCAACCTAACATGTTATTGAATTAAAACAGCAAGTTATTATTTACAATATTTTATTTCTACAAAATCATTTTACTTAAAACTAATTTTTTGTACATTTTCTTTGTTACAGATTAAATATAGCTTAAATACATAACAATTGTTTTAGAAGAAATGTATGAAGGCTTCATGAAACTGTAACATTAATAATAATAAATAAAGATTTTTTTTTAAACTTTTGACGCCACTTTAGTAGACGCAGTAAAAACATTATATTTCATAGATGGTAACTATTTAATACTGATTGATATCTTTTTTGTTTCTGCAACTGACGACAATTGACTCATCGTTAGTATTGTTAGCCAACAGACAGTTACCCACAGTTAAATAGAAAAGAAGAAAGTTTAGTAAACATATCCGCCGTTTGAATCATAACTTTGGGTGATGGTTGAGGGCACGCTGCTTGGGTAACCACCTCCGGACCCTCCAGAGGAGTAACCCCCTGATCCACCTCCTGAGTAACCACCTGACGAATGTTTGCCAGAGCTATAACCACCGCCAGATGAATATCCAGAACCGCCACCAGACGAGTATCCGCCGCTAGAAGAATGTCCACCAGAGCTTGAACTATAACCACCTGAAGATCCACCACTAGGAGCCCCATAAGAACTAGATGGGGCACCGTAACTACTCGAGGGGCCAGACGATGGCGCACCATAGCTTGAAGATGGACCAGATGCAGGCGCCCCATAACTTGAAGACGGACCGCTACCACCAAAACCACTGCTACCAAAACTGCTGCTACCGAAACCGCTGCTACCATGACTAGATCCAAAACTTCCACCTGATGATGGAGCGCCATATGATGATGAAGGCGCTGGAGCACCATATGAGTCAGAGGGTGATGGGGCACCATAGGACGATGAAATGCTACCACCAGAACCAAAGGATCCGGATCCATGGGAGCCTGATGATGGAGCACCGTATGAAGATGACAATCCACCACCAGAGCCAAATGAACTACCACCATGTGAGCCTGATGACGGAGCACCATATGAAGATGACAATCCACCACCGGAGCCAAATGAACTGCCGCCATGTGAGCCTGATGATGGGGCACCATACGAAGATGATGGGGCACCATAAGAAGATGATAATCCACCACCGAAGCCAAATGAACTGCCTCCATGTGAGCCTGATGATGGGGCACCATACGAAGATGATGGGGCGCCATATGAAGATGATAATCCACCACCAGAGCCGAATGAACTGCTGCCATGTGAGCCTGATGATGGGGCACCATACGAAGATGATAATCCACCACCGGAGCCGAATGAACTACCACCATGTGAGCCTGATGATGGAGCACCATACGATGAAGATGGGGCGCCATACGAAGAAGATGGGGCACCATACGAAGAAGAGGGGGCACCATACGAAGATGATAATCCACCACTGGAGCCGAATGAACTGCCGCCATGTGAGCCTGATGATGGGGCGCCATATGAAGACGATAATCCACCACCAGAGCCGAACGAACTACTGCCATGGGAGCCTGATGATGGAGCGCCGTACGAGGACGAGATTCCACCGCTTGATCCGAATGAGCTACCTCCATGTGACCCTGAAGAGGGTGCACCGTACGAGGATGAAGGGGCGCCGTACGAACTGGATGGCTTAAAGCTTCCAGAACTTCCAGATCCTCCGAAAGAGCCGGAGCCTTTTCCAGGTGCGCCATATACGGTGGATGGTCCAGTAGGGACGCCATAGCTTGTCGAAGGAGGCCTAGGGGCTCCATAGCTATTTGATGGCTTGGGTGGACCATAGCTAGATGATGGACGAGAAGGAGGTGGTCCATAAGAGTTCGATGGTACTCCATAGCTGCTAGAAGGCCGGGACGGGGGTCCATATTTAGAAGATGGACGTGGTGCTCCATAAGATGATGAAGGCCTGCCACCGCCACCAGATGGAGGTCCGTAGGACGAACTCAGAGGAGCTGCAAATAATGGTACGGGTGCTTAATTCATTCATTTCGCTATTTGTCCTCATCTTACATCATAATAAGTAGTCATATTTAAAAAAAAAACCTTTAAGATTATTATAAGTGATTACATTTTGTACTCTGACAATTATGTAATTCAAACAAACGCTTTAGTGAAAACTGATAGTTTGACCTGCTCATTAATGCCCTGTCATATTTTACACCAAACATCTAAAACATCTTATATAACTCTTGAATAAACTGCAATGTTTCAACACAACAATTAAACATAGTTACAAAGGTGAAATTTCAATGGCGTTAGATGAAATATACAAGCAAATATATGAAATAAGGTATTACAAATATGTTAAGAGTACATCCTACTAATATTATAAATGCGAAAGTTTGTGAGGATGTATAGATTAATTTTACCTACTCGTATATTGGATGTATAGATGTGTGTATTTGTTACTCTTTCACGCAAAAACTACTGCGTGCATTTTAATGAAACTTTGCTGAGCTTAGCCTAGCTCATACATCAGAATAAATTGACTACTTTCTATCCCGGAAAAGTGTACAGTTCCCGTGGGATAGATTTGTTTTTATTTTTCTAGAGGCGAACGCAAGCAAAGCGAGGGTGAGCCGCTAGTATATAATTATTTAGATGTAGAGTATAAATTTATTTAATAAAAAAAACTTACCATCTCGTTTCTTATGTTTGCCGGGCGAGGCCGCCGCTAGAGACACCGCTAGCAACACTCCCAGAAGCTAAAATAAAAATAAATACAATTCAATTATTATTTATTATTAAGTTAAATTTAAATACGCGAATATCGAAAATTATATATATAAGTACATAGAAAGTACATTACATACAATCAAATATAATCTGTTATTTTTTACGTAAATGCTAAAACGTCGAGATGCGTGTCGCAAGGTTTGCGTAAACGTAAAGCAACAGCTATTTGTATTTATGTCTCGAGCACGTGCAATGCGGCCGGGCATGGTCAATGTCGCATACCTACATGGGAATCGCATACATTGTGTTTGTCTTATAGCTTAGCTATACTATATTAGTGTTAAATATTTAAACCGTCTTATTCTATTACGTAAGATAAAGTGCACAGCAATGCTGTGTACGGCATTGGATGTTCTGGAAGAGGTCGGAGGTTCAATTAATTATTATTATTGCACGTACTTTTATTGCACGATATATGATGTGTAGAAGATTTTTTACAATGATTAAGATAGAGTTGGGGTCGCTGCCGGCAAAGCTTTGTCTTAAAATCGTAGTATCATAAAAAAATAATGTACGAGAAAATTATATTTGAATTTTAACATTGTTTTGCAGGAAGATTTCAGAAACCAAACTGACATAGTCTTTTAGACTTTATACTAGCGGACCCGACAGACGTTGTCCTGTCTACACGTCTTTAATTTGAAAATTTCAAACTTTTTTTAATAATTTTTTGATGAAAATTATTATTCAAATTGTGAATCTAAACCATTCCCAGATCCCCTTGAACACACACAAAAAATTTCATCAAAATCGGTCCTATAAAGATATAAGGGACAGAATATATATTATTAAATTTATTCATTACATATTTATTATGTAAGGAACAGTATTCTATTGTTATAATACACTGAGACGTAGGAAACGTGGGCAATTAGCTACAAGATAACACTTTCGTTATTATGCAAGTACACACTACACAATTTAAATAGATTTAATTAAGATTTTAAAATGTAAATTACAGATGAATATTACTTTCATAATGTCTGCGCCAGAGATGCGGCGCTTGTGCATATATTTCAAATTATTTTTTATATCCATTTCACGTTTATTATGCAACATGTCTAGTGATTAACTTGTACAGTTGTTGTATTCCAGTAGATTTACTAGAATACAGCTCTGCTAGGATAAATCGGGCTGTTGTTCGTTTTTTTATTAAAAAATTGATTATTTTAGTATATAATTATCAAAAGTGCTTGCAAAAGTCTATTATATTATTATAATTAATAAATATATTATATACGACTATATTACGAATATATTATATTTGGCGACGCGTTTGGCTTAGTTTGTAGTGACCCTACCAGCTGCGCCAGCGGTCGCGGGTTCGAGTCCCGCTGGGGGCATTCATTTGTGTGATGAACACGAATGTTTGTACTCCAGTCATGGGTGTTTATATTTATAATATATATGTATTTAAAGTTATATATGTGTAGTGTATCAACTATCTGGTATCCATAACACAAGCTTCATAGTTTACCATATTTATTTATTTATTTATACATAAAAAGGTAAATAGACCGGGTTGTCCGAAGGCAATGTGTTTCATCCTATCAGTGGTTCAGGAAAACAGTGCTGACTAAATAATTACCTTCATCTGTGTTAGAAGCGTGAATTTATATAACTGAAATAATGTATTGCAAAATTATTTAAAATTTAAATGTAAATTGAATTTATAATATTAGTAGTAGTGTAAAACTGTATGTTTTAATAATAATTAAGAATGTAATCATCTGATCTGTTTGCCTCTTAACTGCAATCCCGGTTCGATTATTGTGAGGCTAAGAGTGATCATTTGAATCTGACAGTTTAAGGCTTTGTTGGAAACCGCTACCTACGCTTTCTTCAGATACGGATGTGACGTGAAAATATTTCCTTATAGAAGTCACAGATCCATCTCTAATTTCTCTGCAGGTAATAATCTTTTTAAAGTTTTATTTTTTAAAATAATACCTTTCTCCATTATATAATAAAAACGATGTAAAATGAATGTACACTTGAACAAATCAAAAACTTCGTTTCGAAAACACTTTAATCGATAATAACTTATGATATTCATAATCATCAAATAGTGTTTTCAATTATTTATATTTACATATTATGTTAGCGAATGTTTTACAATGCAGATTTTTGTAAAATAAATAATTATTATTATAAGCAAGGGGCCCGAACACAACGTATGAGTCAAAAGCTAACATCCCTGAATCAATCTTCAAGTCAAGCCTCAATTTCATTCATTAAGTACTTAATTCAAGAGAAACTTTAGGATTATCAACAATATTAGAATTCAAGTAACGTAAGAGATAAAACGAGAAGAGATCGAGTGAAATGGCTGTTTTACCTCAGAATGCTTATTTTGCTTCATTACGAGCATTCTATAGGCGCCGGACGCAGCGGACGTGACCGCACGAGCGCCAGCGGGTTACTTTCCACTAATGGATTATTTGGACATAGAAAATAATTAAGGAAAAGGAAATAGTAAAATATACTCTTCACATCAAATGAAAAAGAAGAAAGAGAATTTAAAGCAGTCTCTATTAGGATTACCTATCTCTAGTCTATTAAGACTAGAGAGACATGTAGTTATACATTGATCTAACAAATATAATAAAAATTTTGACAACAAGTTTGGCTCGAGTCCAGTTGGGGGGCATTCATTTGTGTGATGAGTATGAATGTTTGTACTCCAGTCATGGGTAGTTATATTTATAATATGTATACACATATTTAAAGTCATATACGTGGAGTGTATCAACTACCTGGTATCCATAACACAAGCCTCGTAGGTGGCCATGGAACTAGATGGTTCATGGTGCTGTGTGTTAATGTCCCAACATATTATTATTATAGTGTATATAAAGAATCCTATTATAATGTTATATAGCTTATTTACTACAAGAATATATTATATATGGAAAGGCACTTTCCAGTAAATTAAACATTCACAGCGCTTCGAGCTCCTGTTTGAACGAAAATGAAAGAAATTCTAGGAAAAGCATTTAACTTCCTCAAACTCAACAGCACTTATAGGGAGTTCTAAATTGCCTTGTACATTTTCAACGAACTTTGCTTTAACTCATATTATTTAAAAAAGGATCTAATAGCATGCTTGTTTGACTAGCGCTGTCTAATGGATGGAGGTAGAAATTCGATTTTCAAATATGATGTATATATATTTTAAATAACCAAAGTTAACTCATTTGTTAATGTGGTCATGGTGTTGTGAAGACCGTAACTAAGCATGCCTCACTTCTTGTAACATTTTCAATTTACGTCGATTTTCATACGATTCCTTCTATATTTTAGAAATATGTAAGTAGTATTTTACCCCTCCAGGTAAATTAAGAAATTAATTAAAATTCTAAGAAATCTATCGTTAACTGACACGCCGGCGTGTCCGCGGTTGTGGAGGGATTAATAAGAGAGATAAGATGGATAACATAAAAAGCGGTTGTCACGTAATTTGTGAGGTTACACGACACTATAAAGTACAACCTAGACAACGATATCTAAGTAAAATTTTAGTTTTATTGTAGTGAAATGTAACGTGCAAATTTATGCGAAATGATACGAAAGCGTTAATAAAAATTGCAATAAAGCAAGAAAATTTAGAACCTTGGAACGGAAGCGGAGCAAGATGGCGCCATTCAGACAAAGCTGGGTCATTATTGCATGCAAATTTAATAGCCTCCTACTATCAGCTAGAATACGTATTCACAGCATTTCTCTCTGCTGCATTGCGCTGAGCGCCTTTAAATGGTATTTTTGCTCATATTCTCCGCCGAACTTTGTTTAGGTACTTTTCTAAAATATTCTCTTGTAAAAACCGTGTTTGTTCTTTATTTCTTACAACCCTTCGATATTTTCAACATTTTCAATTCTGCTTATTTATTTATTTTCCGAAATATTTCTATTTTCAATCATAAAAATGGGTCAATAATTTTATTAATAGGTTTTAGTTAGGCAATGAACAAACTGTGGCATAAATTATGAATTATAGCAACATTTCTAAAGAAAGTGGTATTAATAAAGCTCTGGGAACTGTCAGGTGGAGATAGGGTGTTATCGATTCATATAAATTAACCTTTGAACTGAATATTGTTACGTAACTTGCCGCCAAGTAGTCTGGTATTCAAATAGAACATAATTTAGTACTGTTTATTGATATTGCGGGAAAAAACTAAAGCGCATTGAATTTCAATATGTATAACGTTACTAGCGACTCACCCCCACTTCTCTCGGGCTTTAAGCTACTCTAGGTTCTCTATATGAATACTAAATTGTATACATTAGGTACCGTGCAGTCATTTCAGCGTGAACGAGCAACAAATATACACACACATAAATTTTCCCGTGTATAAATAATGTTACGATAGCTGCGCTGATAATTCAGAGTTCTTATTCAATAAGTGATCTCAATGTGAAAATTACTCTGAATAAAATAACCTTGCACTATATTATATATAGTATATATTAATTATTCAGTAATACCATATAATAATATTGAGTAGAAAAGCGAGAAATATGTTATTATTATATAAGATGATGATGAGTATGATGAGTTTTATATCCCTTTCTTGAGAAATGATTGATTCCTCATACAAAATTTCATCCCCTTTTCACCCCTTAAGGGATGATTATTCAGGATAAATATTATCCTATGTCTTTTCCAGAGACTCAACTATTTTCATACCAAATATGATCTAAATCGGTTCAGGGATTTTTAGTTTATCCATTACAACAATCATACGATAAAAAAATTTCTTTAATAATAGTAGTATAGATAAACTTAATCATCTTAGTTGATTATTAGAAAACATCAGTCAAACAATAAAACACTTAAGATACAAAACTGATATAATTAAAACGACTGCCGCACGGCTAAGTTCTCATTACAAAACGATTAGTTTTTCTCTCACCGTTAAGACGAAATTTAAACGGTGTATTAGCTCAGTTACACGCCATTCATCCC